GTGTTTGGAAGCAAGTTCCTGAAATTCTCATGAGACTTACTTGAACTAGCAATGTTGATCGCACTTCGTGGCTGCATATTTAATAAAGTAGCGTAATGCTCTGATTGGTGGATGCAATCGCGTGCCAGTCGAAACATTGACACATGTGTCATGTGGTACTAAATGTGCTAAATCATTGGTCAAGTTTGCTCAATGGTTCCTTAATTTTATACTATAATTTTACCTACGGGTAGCTTTTCGTACCTGTTTAGGCAGGTCAGAACCGAAAAAAGGATGCAATTAACAGAAATGTCTAAATTCACAAGTTAAATGGATTTTGATATGTCTGTTATGACCAATTATGGTGACCATTCATATTCAGCCATCCAACTTTAAGCTAGTTTTTACTTCAAATGTATAATACATTCTAAATCATTAGTGCCAAGGAGCATTACATCAACATATAGGCATTATATTTTGAGGATTAGATAGTGACTAACACAGATTCGCAAAATCACTTACATTACATTTTTATCACGCGCGTAAAATGGCTGACTATATTTTATCCCTCAGCAATTCGTCAGCAAAACTAGTCGTTTATTGAAAGTAATAAACGCGTTTTTTGTATGGTTTGTAAGAATAAAGTTAATTGCACTGGCTTCTACTGAAACGCACCTAGTCGAAAAAGTGGTGATGGCACCAATATAAGCTGGATCACTTTTTACATTAACTGGATCGGTGGAAACGTAATGTTGACGTTAAGATCATTCACTACAAAACCCATCAATTATTTTATCTGTCTGCATGAACCACTTGTACTTGTTTAATCCACCCACTATTCTGACGTCCGTAATTTTACCGATTTGCCAAGACTGAATTAGGTATTCTCGCACATCGACGACGTCCTTATCGCTAGTAACGAGCATGAAGAACACATGGAAAAAAATTATGGTATATTTTTCCTGCATCTAAGTGAGTTCAGTTTAATAATTTGGACGTCATTGTGTGTATTTAAAGTTCCAATATTTGAATGCTTGAGACATAACGTCCCTACTGCTTGGTTTGCGGCCCACAGACATTATTTGACTTCTACTTTTATTGGGCACGATTATTCCAATGCAGTTCACGTCACTTCTGCCCCTGAAAAACCTACTCAAATGTTTCTCTAGAATGCTAACCATGATGGACGAGGCACGTGCAGAGTTGACGGCAGAAAAGATTTTAGCAAGGCCAACCACACTTCTATTGTGAGTCCAGATGATTCACACCCATTAACCTGCGCACACATTTATCAACGATCAGACGCCACTCAGTTTCTTTTAGTAAATGAGGACTTTCCACATGGTTCATCTCAATATTTTGTGCTTATTTACCTTGTCCTTTAAACAAACGGATTTTGAACAAACTTTTATTTTGCGTTTTAAGAAACAAAAATCAAGAGAGTTATTGCGAACGCAGCAGATGCTGGTAATTTAAATCCATTTCAATAGTTAGCGGTCGAGCGAATCAGGACGGGTACGTCGAGCTAAGCACTTTCGCATAGGGTCTTCCCTTTCAACTTCGCGTGGTTGAACTGGCTCCCTCCGATTGTTTGGCCTCTCTTCGGTGACTGGCTGTCTCGGCACGCAGAGATTGCGCTTGCACACTGATCCCTTGGGGCATTTACTGCAACTGCGTCCACTTTCATACGGCTTCTGTCCATGCAAATTTCCTCTTGAAATGTTTAACACAAAAAGTACCATGTAGAGAGTGATAATCGAAATGTCTGATTGGGTAGACGTGGTCTCTAGACTCACTTTGGTTTGTATTGGCAGGCCAAAAGGTAAGGGGGTTTCCGTCCCTTTGGCCTAATGGAGTCACATCGATAGGCTGCACAGCCAACCTCATTTGACGCAGCCCATATCATCTGAAAAAGAAAAGAAATAAATGCGATCATTCCTTGACAACTCGACACTGCACAGACAATTATCTAGCTGTCACCTGCATACAAAATGTCAAAATATTTCTACCTACAAGTGTAAGCTATTGTGGCAATGCACGAAAGGCTGCCGACTTGCCTGTGTGTAGTGAATGCAAACACCTCGGCATCTGTTACTGGCATAGTCGTAATCCTCCACTTCGTCGAACCAATTCTGAGCTATCCTCAGCCAATCAGGTGTGTCAATTGTCAAAATTGCTAAGCTTTGGCCAATGTTCTTGTATTGTGGGTAGACGTCAGGGTCGGGATGCTCGAAGCGACAGCCTTTAACCCAGTTTAGCGCCAACCGTTCCATTTCCATGGAGTAGTTCTAAATTAGTAGAATATCTGGTGTGCTTATGCGCAATTAACTCAATTACAAAACACTGTGTATGCCTGCGTAGAATGCCACAAAACCAGACTTGTAAAAAATAAGTTGGACGCGGTTTCTTAACGAATAACGTTAGTGCTTTAAAATGACCAGGTACATTGAATGTTGCATGTTAAGTACTTGCACTATGTTTGTACTAAGTCTTTGTTTTATCAGATAAAGTTAACCAGCAACCCAGCTGCAGAAGCCAGAAATTATGAAACTAAGTCACTAAATACCAAAATATAATCCAGATAAAAGAGAGTGACTAAGTTTGTTTCATTTTAAAAGCCTTAACTTAGGTTTAACTTTTCTCAAATCAAATCACAATTACATTTGTTTTTCTTACCATAAATTGCATGTTGCTGGCAGGAGGTTGCACATTTTCGCGCAAACAGTTATGAACTTCGAGGATTTCATCTCTGTTTTTTTGCAGTAAGTCCTGCGCTTTTGCAAAGCAGATCGCAGCCAGAACGCAGGAAAGCGTTTTCATCCTGTTTATAAGATTGCAAACCGTAATCTATTTAGCATCATTATCTTTGTTTGTGAATAAAGCGTGAAGAAGAAAATGAATGATAATTTTAACCCACCGATATGATGTCAACTAGCAAAATAATCAACATGTAATGATGCTACGCATTGCTGATACCTGCAAATGTGCAAATGTTGCTTATGTTAGTGCACCACATTCAATAGACAAATTGTGTGATATTTATATAGTATTTATTGCTGAACTACCAGGTCGTTTATTCACGGTTCAACATGTCTACGCGGAGCATGAGGACAGCACAAGATCATCTAATATGGTGCTGAAAACGCGCAAATTTTAGACTGTATAAAATACGCAAGTTATCACAAAAAGCAGTTTGCATCCCCATTGATTGTCGTTTAACAGTAGAGCTGCGAAGAACTCGTGTCTTTACTGGACATATGCAAAATTGAAATAAATTTAGGATGCAAGATATTTTGTAAACATTTTCCACAGATTCTATGTTTTACTGATGACGTCAATTGTATATTTTTTTGGTGTTGAAGTATTTTGTAAGTTATGGTTTAGTTTATAAGCTGAGAAGCAGACAGCTTCTGATATTAACTATTCGAAATTTTGCTCCGTTTTCCATGAAGACATAGGATAAAATCTATAAGGTCCAGGTGAGCAAAATTAAAGGCAACGGCTGTTGATGAGACTGCTAAAGCAACCGTGTTTGTAAGAAGAAGCTGATCAATGTAGTTTGAGTTAACAAATAGCCGCGTTAGTAAAATGCAAACTTGATGCGGACGCTGTGAATGAAGGAGCAGTGTGTTGAAATATTCGCCGACCAGGCTAATGAACGCAAATTATTACAATTCACATCAGTGTCATTAACCCTCTACAAGATACTGCGAGATCCGCAAAGGCGGTTCGGTTTTCAGCATATGAAGTTTTAATAAATAGACACAAATCGCTGGTACCAAAATTACTGCATTGCTACAAACTTTGATACATTTCAGCGTTCCATCAATTTCTGGAATAAAATCTAAGGAAAAGAGGAGTAAGTGGAAAAGGAAATTATATCAGCTTCATGATCCATTCAGCATCCCTCTTTTCAAGAGTTCATGCTTGCCAGTGGGGATCTCGTAGGCAGCGAATGTCACGTAAGGAAACAGTCCACGACCACCAGCATAAAATATAACAAATTAACATAATGAAACTGATCGTTTATGTCACGTTTCCTTGGTCCACAGTAAACCGTTAATATGAAAACGTATTCTGCGTGTTTACACTTC